ATGGGAAGGCCAGCAGTGTCCTCCAGGACCTATTCTCACTATCAGCTGGCAGCACCACCCGGTACCAGGTTTCCAGGGGTCTCACTGTCCCCTCGGCACAGTCAGAAGCCGGAAGATCTCGCCTGGCCTTTCAGGCAGCCTTGTCCTGGAACGCTCTTCCAAGGATTGTAAGGGAGAACAAGGTTGCCCAGCAATTTCAGCTTGCCTCCATCCTCTACACCTTGCAATGAATGCTCTGTCTGGCTTTTCCCGTCCACACACCACGTCATTTACTCTTCTCTGCGTGCTTGTGCGCTTATGAACTCTTTGTGTTCCCTATGTTGACGCTGCAAAATCGCTCTATTGACACTGCAAAATTGTTAATCATCTCCCTCCCTCCCTCTCTCTCTCTCTCTCTCTCTCTCTCTCTCTCTCTCTCTCTCTCTCTCTCCCCGTAGCTCTCTCCCTTTTGGAATTCGCTTCCATAGAATTGGGCACCATTGCCCGTTTGGCCTTGCGAAGTAAAAGAAAAATCAACAACAACAACATACTGCGAGAGGGTAATGAGACTAGAACACTAGGCTATTTCTAACTCTATAACTGCGTCGAGACATGACACCGTCACACAATGATTAAAGCTACTTGTACAAACGAAAACTTTTGAGAATATGAGCTGGAAATATTCCTGGTACATATATGAACCTATCGAATGAAATTTGACAATGAACAAAACGTCCAGCAATGTACTGGGAACATTTTCTCTGATGTAGGGACGCAAACACAGATGGTGGTTTAAACATTAGATGGGTGTTTGGAATAGAAGTCACCAATACTATTACAGCTTACAATGTTTCGGGTACAGGACATGCATTAATTTTGTCATTGGGACTTATCATCTTAAATCTCTCCATTCGTCTTTTCGTGGCTCCTCTTCAGTTTAGTTTTGGCCTTCTTAAGATTCTTCAGTGCGAGATGTAAGTCTACTCTGAATGCGACTCCTATCGTTCCGGCGATGGTTAATGTACCACTCACGTATGACTCCTTGCTGTACGCCAAACCTGGAAGCCAAATCAATTTCTTTTTGTTCAGAAGGCCTTGGATCTCGACCAAACTCCTGCCTCAGAATAACACACTGGTTGTGTGAAAGCCGCTTGCCACTTCTGCCAAGTCTTGAAAATGTTGCCGGACATATACTCCGTCGTGGACGATCATTGCTGCGTTCGCCTTCTATCCATTCTTTGAATATAGGGTACAATATTAACATTTGCTCCGCACTAAACTTGCCTCTTTCAAATCTATGGACAGATATTCTTGTTTTTGGAAATGGTGCACGGTATGATTCGCAAAGTATGGATGCGAGTTGTTTTTGGGTGAGCTGTCTACTAATCCTGGTTTTCTCGACCAACTGGCAAAACTTCTCCATATCATCAGTCGATAAACTAGACCCTTTGTTGGGAGAAGGAGCTTCGGCGTTGTAGTGGGAGGGAGTATTCACTGGGACAATATCTTTGTTGCTAGCGAACAAGCCAATACTTGAATGCGATGTACCTTGGACATTACCAGAGAACGATGCTGTATTGTCCAAACGAGGTGTCGATGATACTGCGGAGCGGCTAACGTCTAAAGACACTTTGTCGACCTTATTGTGTTTAGATGGTGTATAACTACTTGCAGTGACGTTACTGATATGGGGTTGAGAGGAATATCGAAATGGTCGGAAATCTCTGGTTCTCTGCCCAAGGTATACGTCCTCTTGGAGTTTCCGTTGTGACGTACTAACGGCTAACGGAGAAGCAGCGTTACTCAGGTAAGTGTAATGTACGTTCTCAGAACTGGGTTTAGACTGGGAGGCGATTCCGATGACAGCATGTTCAGACCAAAAGTCTGTACGTGATGTGATGTGCATAGTTCCCGGTATTCGCTCGAAAGTCGGTTCCAGTGTAGGAGTGGTAGAATATTTGGTGGGCTGTGTAGGATAACAACTGGTGGAAGAACTAGTATCTCTCACTCGCGACAAGCCGGATGAACACGCTCCCGTCACGGGCTCAGCAGCAGAATATGATTCAGGATGAATGCCCTTCGCTGGTTGTTGCAGTATAGGAGTGAGAGCATCAAGCTTGCTTTTCCCTTCCTCCAAACTTCTAAGGGATTTACGGAAGTTTGGAAATTGCTCCTTCACTGTATGTTCTAGTGTAGGGATGATAGCAGCATTAACCGACTGTGTAAGGTTAGTACTGGCACGTTGCAGCACACACGCATCCGGAACGGTAGACGACTCTCTGCCAGGCTGACCAGAGGTTTGCTCTCCTCCCAGGTTGAAAATCGGTGGACAACTGGATGCCAGTTGTGTCGCCATTAAAGTGTTTGTAGGCTGACTGAACTGTAATGTGCTTGTAGCTACTATCTCAGTCACGGGTAACCCTGTCGCGCTGTTCACTTCCGCAGTACTTGAGTCAGTCCAAGATGCAACACCCGTTCCCGTTGGTTTGTCGGCCATATCACCATCCAGAAACGTGTCCATGTTCTTCTCTACTTTCAGGACAGATTTCCCATGCTTAAAGTTCACAATCTTTGCATTGACCTAGAAGAAATGTTTCTGAGAACTGAATATAAATGCTACAAGCATTTGAAAACGTGGACACAACCAAGAAAGGTAGAGACTCTACTAATGTGTAGACTGCCCCAAGTGATTTGGGAACTGTGCGTGCGCGGAAGTTTGATAGTGTTGAGGATATAAAATTAGCATTATTGTTGCTTTCATTCAGGCCGGGGATGGTACTTAATCAGCGAATTGTGACAGAAACAATGTGCCACTATATTATTGGTTTGTTGGATTTAAGATTGGTGCAAGCGCAAATGTGGAGGATTTAGCACTCAAGCGTCACACCCATCGCTTATTACTCGCCCGAGCGAACTGTGCGTATGTTGCCTTTATATTAAACGCGCAAGACCTTAGCGATTGCTTTCAGACTACATGTATCATCACGGAAAATCGCATTTGGTAAAGGTGGCAGACTACCCAAAAATTCGCTGAAAAATCGAATTTGTAAATTCATATTGAGTGCTACGTCAATTGAAAGAGCATGAATAGCTGCAAATTCTCTGAAAATTGTGTCCCTATCTGACCCGCCGTTCAAGAGTTATGGCCGAAAATGTGCCCTTGCACGGAAAGTCCAAAAAATCACCTTAAAAAACCACGTATTGGGCTGCACGGCGGCGGACGAAGCCCGCCGCCGTGCTGCAGGACTTTTGCCAGCACCCTCGTGACGTTGCAGATATGTGGCTTGATTATTGTAGTTGACGTTGATTTAGTGACTTTGGCAAGTTTGAGTCGTGTCAAGAAGTCAGGTAGGATTCAGTACTAGGCAGTAGTGAAACGTGAGTGGCAGTCTTTGCCGGTTTCTGAGGGCATCCTGGATTTGGCGTGCAGCGCTGTGGAAATGGCTTGCTGTGGAGGTCCCAGCACTGGATGTTGTATCAAAGGTACGACCTCGTAGCACGTGCTAAACCTAAAAAAATTCAAAAATTGACTTGGGTCTGTGGGAGCCCGTGAGAGAACGCCCACTCATTCCGTTGTGACAGATTCCAGGGCCACGTTGAGGGGCCTACCCCACCACCCATGGCTGCTTCTGGACTTGTTTTAGGTTTGGGTCCCGCGCACGGACAGAATGGGCACGAAAATGTGAAAAAATTGTAAATGCATTTGTTTGGCTCCTGGGTGGCTCGCACACCGTGGCACTATGCCGGAAATTTGAGTTTTTCCGGCCTGGAAAGCCTGTCAGTGAGGCGCAAGAACTTGTAAATCATGTCCTGAGGGCCAGCATAGTGGCAGGAGTGTGTGGTCAAAATTTCACTCAAATCTACTGAGAAACACCAAAGTTACGGTCAATTGAATGCCATAATTTATGAAATTTATGGGTAGGCTGCCCCCTTAAGCTAATACCGGTAACAGGTTTGGGTAACAAAAAAGGAAAACACGCAAACAAGTGAGTACTTAAGGGGGCACATCACACAAAATTCGCTGAAAAATCGAATTTGTAAATTCATATTGAGTGCTACGTCAGTTAAAAGAGCATGAATAGCTGCAAATTCTCTGAAAACTGTGTCCCTATCTGACCAGCCGTTCAAGAGTTATGGCCGAAAATGTGCCCTTGCAAGGAAAGATTTTTTTGTTGCATGCTGTCATTTGTTGGCAGCACTGTATTTGAATGTGAGCAGACCGTGCGCAACTTGTCGTATCATGGAAACACGCGAAAGTGTGCAGAATTTTGCCCCAAGTCCAAAAAAGTCCAAAAAATCACGTTAAAAAAACCACGTATTGGGACTTTTGCCAGCACCCTCGTGACGTTGCAGATATGTGGCTTGATTATTGTAGTTGACGTTGATTTAGTGACTTTGGCAAGTTTGAGTCGTGTCAAGAAGTCAGGTAGGATTCAGTACTAGGCAGTAGTGAAACGTGAGTGGCAGTCTTTGCCGGTTTCTGAGGGCATCCTGGATTTGGTGTGCAGCGCTGTGGAAATGGCTTGCTGTGGAGGTCCCAGCACTGGATGTTGTATCAAAGGTACGACCTCGTAGCACGTGCTAAACCTAAAAAAATTCAAAAATTGACTTGGGTCTGTGGGAGCCCGTGAGAGAACGCCCACTCATTCCGTTGTGACAGATTCCAGGGCCACGTTGAGGGGCCCTACCCCACCACCCATGGCTGCTTCTGGACTTGTTTTAGGTTTGGGTCCCGCGCACGGACAGAATGGGCACGAAAATGTGAAAAAATTGTAAATGCATTTGTTTGGCTCCTGGGTGGCTCGCACACCGTGGCACTATGCCGGAAATTTGAGTTTTTCCGGCCTGGAAAGCCTGTCAGTGAGGCGCAAGAACTTGTAAATCATGTCCTGAGGGCCAGCATAGTGGCAGGAGTGTGTGGTCAAAATTTCACTCAAATCTACTGAGAAACACCAAAGTTTCGGTCAATTGAATGCCATATGAAATTTTTGGGTGATGTGCCCCCTTAATCCGCCAAGGCAACATTTTCGCTTATCTCCTTCAGCCCAATGACAAGAGTCTGACAGATATTTGTACGTCTTGTGCACTTCAACATCACACAAATCTGCTCGTTCAGGTGTACAAGTCTGCGAGGTCACGAAGGAGTAAAGAAACACTTAGACTAGAGCGCGTTGAAGGCGAGTGAACTGGTAAAAAAACACACGAAGTCAGTCACTTGTCAAGGTGGTTGCTGCTAGAGTGCCACTGAAGTACAGAGCAGAGGTGTCATGTTGCGAAAAGCCAGTGCAGCATGTTTGATTGCATCCGACACAAGATGTGTGTATGGTAAAAATACACGTGAGCTTGAAGCTGAGAACACCACTCAGCGATGCTCGCCCACATACTGCAAAACTGAACCAGAACCACTGGCACTGGGCAAAACACGGAGGAAAGAAAGGCTTCGATTACAGGGTTGTCTCTCACCCAGCTCATTCGCCTGATGTCAACGTGAATGATCCTGTAAAGCGACGCTGAGCTTATCAGATTCGGCTGGTAAGAAACACGACCGATCGCACTCATGAAGGAGGTGAAGCGCTTGGAAAAGTGTCGATACGAAATATTTGCGCTTCTGGAAAGTGTGAAGTACTGCCCGACAACAAGTGCTGAGTCGGCTGATTACAATGGATGACTTCTACATTTTTCGACTTGGATAGTTTCTCGTGATGTTCAACGACTCCTCAACTCATTCTGAGTCGTTATAAGCCGTTCTGAGAACCTGGAATGTATCAGTAAAAAGTGTAAAGATGTGCGAAAATTTTGCTTGGGCGGAGGAAGTATTATTATTATTGGTGGCTTTATTGGTTTTGTGTCTGGATTATTATTAATATTATTATGTCTCCCCTATTCACGTCTTTCGAAAGCGATAAGCCAGACCCACCGGGAAATATTTCCATGGGTGGGACAGCAAAAAGAAAGTGAAAAAAATAAATAAAATAAAAAATAAAATAAAAACCAAAGGGACAAGAAATAGTTGAAGGAAGAGGAAGAAAGGAAAGAAACTCAATCCGAACTCCAACATCAAAACAATAATAAAGAATTTGAAGCGACAGGCAAAGTACATCAACCAATGAAGAGAGTAACAAAGGAAATATCAGTCTTTATCAGTCGTTATTCAAGTCTCTTAGCTATTGAACATGGAAACGCAGCAGAGGTGCATGTACATGTTAAGAATAGTTCTTAGTATTTTAATCGAACCTTGGATAGCCTCCTGTTGCACAATATCCAGGTCTCCTCCGTGCACAGTCCGAAGTCATTGAGGAGTCTCCCCCACCAAGCCTCCCAGGGCACCGACAACCACAGGGACCACGTCAACCTGGGCGAGGGACCAAATCCTGGAAATCTCCCGCTTCAAATCATAATATTTCGAGCGCTTTTCAGCCATTTTCTTATTGATGTTGTTCTCACCAGGAACGCTGATGTCTATAATGTAGGCGATGCGCTCCTTGTCATCAACAAGGAGCAGATCGGGCCTGTTTGCTGATAGTTTCAGGTCAGTTGGGACCGAATACTCCCAATAGAGGCGATACCGATCACTCTTGACCAATGCCTTGGGCTGGTGGTCGAGTCGTGAAGCACCAGTAGGTAGATCTCGTGCTCTACACATTTCTAAGTGCACATACTTTACTATCCGGTTATGTCGTTCAATGTAACTGGTCCGAACAAGAACTGGGCAGGCACTGACAATGTGGTCAATTGTTTCTAAGCTGCCCTTGCAAAGCCTGCAATTGGCATCAGTTCGAGCAATTGACTTCATTATGGCGTATTGGTAAATTTTCGTTTTGAGGGATTGGTCTTGTGCTGCCATAATCATGCCTTCAGTTGAAGGTTTCAGTGTCCTTGATTTCAACCACATGAAGGTAAGCTCCTTATTTATTATTAGTATTATTCTCGTATCCGTTCCCAAGGGGAACTTACAACATTGGAGTGAAAAAAACATAAACAAAAATAAAAACATGGGGATGTGGAGATAATAGTGTTGCATACATTGAGTACAAAATAATACAGATACAATCAGTGCTTCGGGTGCCTGTAGACCCTGATATAGTAGTGAGCACAAGCACCGTCCACACACAAGTGAGTATGCACGCAAACAAGTGAGTATGCACAGTGGAAATGCTGCCCCACCCCCCGCGCGGTTAAGTTTTGTTGGAAAAACCACCTTTAGGACTCTCCAATAACACTTACAGTCCATTTCAAAACTATAGACGCGTACCTAGACAAAAACCGTTATGCCAGCATCTATACCACATAAAATCTGTGATCACTTTGTGCATATTTTTTTCCAAATTGGGCGTCTGTTATCCAATCCTTTAGAAACTATATGAGAGTAATTGTGGAGCGATCCTGAGCAATATTCCGAAAACTATTCTCAAAAAGTTCCAGCCAAATTTGAAATATTTCAAAACCCCTACGCGTCTATAGTTTTGAAATGCACTGTAGTACGACAATATTCTGCTACAAAATCGACAACAATTTTATCAG